ATGGCAATACAAGTCGACCTCTCGATGGGGGCCCGAGCGGGGATAGCACCGGTGCGCCTGCGCCCACGGTGTGATTGACCATGTAACTCCCATCGCGCAGTTTCTGCAAAATCGTATTGGGTTGTTCTGTGAGATCGACCTGGAAGCCAACATGATAGACGACCTTGTCCGCTTCTTCTGGAAGGTTTGATATGCCGCCCCTGAGGGGGATCACGGTGACGAGATTGACAAAAGCCTGTCCGCCTTTACGGTAGTTAATGATCTTGGTTCGGCACTCCTTGTCCGCGGAGAGGGATTTTTTCAAATGTGCCACAGCATCTGGTGCGACAAAGCGACGCTCCTCACCCTTTTGTACATTCCCATCGGGAGACTGCAAGAAACGACAATTGCGACCGAGAACCTCGTGTTCAGCGTACCCTGTGAGGTTATAGAAGCTGGGGGAGGCGTAGATGATGGGACAGTCATGGCGACGAACATCGACGACAGTAAAGGAGCAAGAACTGTCGACGGGACCGAGGAAGATGGCCGGGTGGGGACGGGAGACTACGCGAGAGAGGAGGGAGAGGAGGTCGAAACCAGAGGTGGAATAAACAGGAAGACCCAGAGGGGATGGTGCAGATAATATGGTTGCTGTATTGAGTTTGAGGATGTCTGCGGCTGTGAAGGAGGAATTCGAGGTAGTTTGTATTGAAGGTGGTGGTGGTGGTGGTGGTGGGTGAGAATAGTCAACCTGAGGATACAGTATAGAATGAGGTATATTCGGATAGGTATCATAGCAATTGCTCGATTGTGCATTGCTAGCACCAGATGCTGCCTCCACGCTCGCTTGGTTCCTCGACTGAGAAGAATGAAAACTGTACCAAAAAAGAGTATTAGAAAATATCACAGGTATTATTTTGTACTCACGGGACAAAACCATTGTTCGCAAACCAGGATGAAGCGAACGAACCTGGGCTATCAAGAAGACCAGCTGGTAGAACCTCTGCACCACCACCTGGGGCCAATATTGGAGGTCCATTGTACATGAACTGAGGTATCTGAAACTGAAGCCCATTAGAGTGAGCATTACCATCATCAACATTGTAACGACTATCGTTGTAATCGCCGTAGTGATTGGAGTATTGCCCACTGCGCTGCGGCTCGTCGTGTGCTAAATATCGTTCAAAGGGCATGGTGGGCGGTCTTGAACAAGATCATCCAAGAGGAGCAGAACTTAAAAGTAGATTTGGGAAATTAGAGGAAGCGTTAACGAAGTATCCACCTTTGGAGTGGGTGCTAGTAATACTTAACGTTATACAGCCGGCTGGCCGCCGTCGCGTGATTAACGGTCTGCTTTTTACCTACTGCAAACATTAAGTTTACCTCACCAACACTTCGTGTAATCCACGTTTATGTAACTCCACATTTCATATTACAAATTGCACGGTATGTACAATGGGCCTGTTCCTAGTTCCTACAACGCAGTACAACAACAAACTATCTTCCAGTTTGTGTCACATACTATGCCTCACAGCTGAGTTGTCACCCCCACAAGTCGTCATGACCTAAATATCTTACTCTATCCTTACTTGTTTATATCATACACCTTTCTTTGTGAGGTTGGATGACCAATTTCTATTAAGAATGGGGAAATCTGTCAAATTCATGCTGGTGGCAGCCAATGGATTCTTAAACCAATACTACCACTGACTGTGATGACTTGTCAGTGCAAGAGGTGTATGTTCACAAAATCCTGAACACAGAGCTTGACTTTAGATAAGCAAAAAAACCTTAAATACATAGCCACATGAAGTTACAAGTGACACATTTTGAGTTCCTTGTCAGCAGCCTCAAATCATTGTAAAATTGTTTGGCGAGGATCATAAAGGGGGTGTTTTTACTACTGTAGAATAGATCTAAATAATAATTTTAATGAAACACGAGCATGTAAAGATGGTACCCGCTAAATGTGAGATCTTGGATGTGATTTTTGAGAACACATGACTAGTCAACATATCCTTCATGCCCTGAGCAATACACCAGAGGAGGTCACATTGAAAGAACTGGTACATTTTTTCTAATTACATTCATATTTTACACTCATGACTGTCTACAAGATTGGTGACACACTTCCATGCAGCTTTTGTGGGCATTCTGGACAACCAGAGTGCACCATCAGTATCACTGTCCCTGCAAAAGCTGCAACAACCTGGGACACCAAATGTGCATACCAGCACCAATTCTGATATGCATCCGCCAATGTTGGTTTGAAAAACTAACCATGTTGCAACATGCCACTGAAGTGTGAGCTCTGTCACCCTACTCTCCTTCCAGTCCCCAGCAGGATAATGAGAAAGACTCCTGGCATCCTGGTCAGCTGTTTGGCACTACAACATGCATGAGTATGTCCTCCAGGAGCATGAGGAATATGCAGTACCAGGACAGAGAGATATCAGTGTACTGCTGCCCACAAGCATTTGTAAGGAGATGAGGCTCATGGACCTGGAGCAGACTGCTTTGTGCATCCTGAAGACTCATTGGCAGTCTTACTACACTCCTCCAGGCGAGATCAGCAAGGAGAATGTGCCTCTGTTAGTTTCTTATGGTTCCAAATGTGCTGGAGTACAAGCAGGCTCATTCCGTTCATCAAAGAAGGCTTAAACAATCATTCTGACTGCTCTGACTGCTCTTGCTGTGCTTAGTCCTTGATTACTTACTTCATGCACCTATTCCAGTTGCATATGTACTCGTTTTCATGCTGCAGCTGTCTATTTTGCTTTGCGATAGCTGAATTGATTCATTTTGATTTAACATTGTACAACAAATGACTACCTGATATGGCTAAATTCCATGATTGGTAACACTGTCATTACACTGTCACAGTAGGTGTAGGGGGTACCCAAGTTACGACAGGTTAGTGTTTTGAACTACTCAATCCTACACCTCTTCTGTCAGTGAGCTAATAAGACATGGCTCCACAAAATACATGGTTACATCTAGTGATGTTCTGGCTAGTGTTGTTGTGGTTTGGTTTGGTTTTTTTGTTGTCTGAACCTGAACCAAACCAGAATTTCCATGCACCACCACACTTCTTCCATCTTGTGCATGTGTCACTTGGCTTAGAGCACAGCTGCCTTGTGTTGATTGTGGTGAAGAAGAGGAATCTAAACTGTGAGGAAATACAGTGCTAGACCAAGGATACACAGAGAGTCCCGGGTGTGAGTAAAAATATCAACCCAAGGGCAGCTGTCTGAGTCAAGGGAAACCTCTCTTAATAAAAAGAAGGACACCAAACTACTAATAGGGTAATAGGACTACTATGGCGAGATGCGATGGATAATATGCAGGCGTGCTGAAGATGAATCAACTCAGCTCTAGGTGAAATGATAAATCAAGGGGAGGGACACAAGAAGCTGATATAATGATCTAGTGCGATGCTAGTCTGCTATGCTTGCAAGGACAAGCACATTCAATCCAAGGGAAAGCAAGGAAAACAAATCCACAGTCATGCAGCGGCTGTGCGAGGCGAGCGACGTAAGTGCAAAGCGCAGGAACGTAAAATGTGAAAGTGCGAAAATGTGAAATGAAACTAGCAATAGACAATGGCTCAATGAGTGACAATAAAAAGGACTGCTAATAGATTCTAACTCTAGCTATGGACATGATGAGGGAACTCCACTAAGGTAAGGTGTGGTGTAGTAAAGGGTGAAAAATGTGGACCTATATATGTGTCTCATAGTGAGACTTACTGGACAGTGGATGAATGCTCCTGGATGATAGGGCAATGAAAGCACAGGAAAGCAAGCGATGCGAGGGCATCACAAGGTGCAGGAAAGCATCGCCTGATATGGAAATAGCTGGGGAAAGGTTAGGGAATGATGCTGCAAGTTGGTGCTGTGAACCTGGGTGGTATGAACTGAAGTCTAATGCATTGCAAGCCTGCAATAGTGCAAATCTCTACAGCACGAGTGCAATGTGAAAGTGGTGTGTGCAGGCGAAGGCGAAGATGCAAATGAGAGAGAGACTAAAGAGAGACAAGACAAGACAACTACTATCACCCCAACTAAGGTTGGCTGATGATAAAACGAAGGACAGACAATGAGAGTGCAAGACTTAGATCTCAACTGCAACAACAAGTAAAATTCTCTTAGTAGCTAAGTACACAGAGAAAGTGGGCAGAAAATCAACCCAGAACATAAGTATTAGAGGGGGTATAAGTAAAATAGCTAAGTGCTGCTAGGTGCAGAGGTCCAATGTAATGATCCAAACAAGCTAAAAATAGTACACAAAATAGGTAATAGGGTCTCAGCTGTATGCAAAGCTGACCATTAGTGAGGGAAAATAATTAAACAAAATGGGAATATTATGGGAAAACACATCAATAAACCTCTAAGGACATGAGAAGGATGGGACAGATGGGTGTGCAGATGATGTGAAGGCAGATGTGTGATGCATATGAATGCAAATGGCTGCATGCAAAACCTGTGGAAATAAAATATGTGCGCCAATGTGCAAGATGTTTCCTAAGGATTAGAGCTGGAGTGTGTAAGGAAAGTGGGAGAAGTTGGAGGGAAGTGTCTGTGGAGACGCGAGTCTCTACAAGAGCAGGAGACTTTAAAATCTGACTGTCCCCAGTCAGCGAGTGCACATGAATGGACTTAGTGAAATTTTGATGAAAGATGTCACATGATAGCATGTGGTCCATGGTCTGAGAATGGAATGCCAGCGGTCGACCATGTGATGTGAAACTTCAGGAATTAGTGCCAATGTGCTGACATAATTGTGGTTTTGCACTTATAAGGCACTACGTGGCAACATGTTGTTCTTCCATCTTTCACCTTAACCTACGATCATCTATCTTAAAATATCAAACTTTGACCTTTCTCTTGTCGACCCTCCTCACTCGCCATTGCCTGAGGTATGTGCTGAAGAGATGCTGATGCTCAAGGAGCCAGCTTAGGAGATTCCTGAGCCTGAACTCATGTGTAAATCCGAAGGCAATTGTGTCCTGTGCATCTGGAATGTGCTACTTCCTTTGCTGGGTGTGCTGTCAGGCTCGCATCCTGAGCTTCTACAAGAGTGACTGGAGGACATCAAGACATGGCTCTGTGAGTGGGCACATTTTGAGGTAAGTGCTACATGTTTTTTGCATTCTTTTTGTTTGTTTACTTAACTCACTTGACTTAGGCTAATATTTGTGTGTGCACATGAGATGCAAAAGAAGCTGGGATGCCGCTTCCTGTGAATGACAATGAGATGGGGCTCTTTTGAGAGCTCAACAGGTGGGTTGGAGTGGTGAGGAAGACAGTGAGCAGATGGAAGGAGGTAGAAGAAAAGTGATGGTGGAGGCATGCATGACTTGGATAGCCAAGGAAAAGGGGAAAGGGAAGGAAGAGAACTCAGACATGGGCAAGCTGGTAAGTGTTCCTTTTCCTCTTTCTTTTGTGTACGTCTGATATAATCTTGTTTATGGTAGAAGGCTGGTGGGTGGATGTCTGTTGCTTCAAAGGTGCTAGAGCCTCCCTGCAAGTGCTGTGTCCAGTGTGGAGTTATGTGCATGCAAGAGAAGAATGCGCGCTGCGGTCCTTGTGAACAGTCACATGGGGCATGTACCTTTGGTGAGTTGTCTTTCAATTTTTCTTAGTTTTGAAGGTCTGATGATTAATATAGCTATGAAACATAAGGTGCCTGATGCGGCAGGAACATCTCGCAAGGTCGCTCAGGTGATCAAAGGATGCACTCTGATCATCAAGCCAATGACAGCTGATGATGCAGTCATTCTTGAGCAGGATATAATGGAGACACTCTAATTCCTTATATTCAGGATGAAATTCGCCCCAGGTTGCAATGCAATGTGCTTTGTCAAATATCACACCAATAATCTGCTGTGCAAAAAGTGGTCTGTGCAACAGTCTCTTAAATTCCCCTTCAGGCTTCATAAGCTGCTCTGGACTAACAATGACAGCCAAATACTTCATATCTTTGATGTTCTGTATGAAAAACCAGGTTATGATAGTAAGTCATCCTGCCATAGCATAACTGTTAGATCCTCACACAAAAATTGCACCAGCTAGCTGTCTCTGAGCTTATCGATATACTTAGCAAGCCTGCTTTTACCAACAACAAAACATTCTGTCTCCCAAACTGGTTCAATGGTGTCACAATAATTTGAAGACCAGGTTTGAATAGTAAAGGCATCCAAAATGTCATAGTCTTTCCCATTGATGTGCCAGCAATGCACACAATATTAATATCATGGTTAGCTTCAATAAATGCTTTGTGTGATTTTGATATGCCAAAGGCATGGCCATTTTCCAAAGTGCTGATGTATGATGAGTCTTGAATTACACCCACACTACTAGGGGCTTCTGACATGTAACAACTAAGTGCTCAAATGGAATATTCTATATTTTAATTAATGTACATATACCTACTCGATTTTCAGTTTTTTCAAGTGCCGCAGGTTTTTGCCACTGTGGCTGAAACTGTTTACAAATGTTTTCTGCTGGAGAGGTTGAGGAATAAGGTTGGGCTGGGTTCAAATTGTCTGTACTTTGAGAATGCTGATGTAACATAACATTTTAAGCAATCTATCCTCAAACTTTCCGGCTGCAGATGGGTAGGAGCCTGGTCCAAAGAGTCCTGTTGGGCCTGGAAAGAAGTGGATAAATTATAAGTGAGTGTAATCATAGACTAAGTTTGGGTGATAAGATTTAAGACATAAGCATCATATACAGCTTGAATAGCTTGTTCCCATGGTGTACTGTGAGGCATGGTAAAGCACCTGTCCCTGTGGTATTAATGTATCACTGCCTATAATTATAGCAAAACCCTGACACATTAATTACTATGAGTCATAGGGTGGTCTGATACATTATTGTACTATAGATTATGGTCCCTACCTTTGCCTACCCTTCTGTACTGTCCTATACATGTTCTCCCTTAGACTATATGTTCAAATTTTGTTCCTGTATCTCAGATCAGATCTGACTTCTTAAGCTAATTATAAAGAACTTGATCTGAATTAATATCATTTGGTGCTTGGACAAAAGGAGGCTCTATAAGCAAGCTACTGACTACAGTGAGTGATAACTATGAAGATGCTATGATTGTGGAACAGGACAAAGTGCGCCACAATGAATCAGCCCAGAGGCTCATCATACAAGTCAGGAGGGTGGTCGATTGAAGGTGTGTGGATAGTATCATTGAGCTTGAAGACCTCTGGTTCAAGAGTAGAAGCCACAAGTTGAGGTACACCGCTCCACAATACTTGGAATGAGCGACACATCACAGAACACAGTGCAACTTGACAATATGCATAAGCCTGAAGCCCCTCTTGATTGGAAGGCTTCTCCATTATGCGTAGATTTGCATGCTCATCCCACCAACGGACCTGCCACTGCAGAAAGACCAGCACACATCACATTTCTTCAACAAGTAGCTCCACTTCCTCAGACCATCGTGCAGCATGTGTGCGAGCCTTACACCACTCGATGCAAAGACCTATAACTGGACTCAGTTACTTGTCATTCTCAGTGAGCTAGAGACATACAATCTTGAACCTGGTCGTTTTCAGAGCGACTGGTGCCGACATCTGTAGCAAGCCAGATCCATGAGATCGTTCCAGTTCCCTGAGTACATCCATCTATGAAATCACCCATCGGTCTCATATCCTTGTTCCTAAGAGGCCACAAAGTCTCTCCCTAGCCCACCTTATCCAAGCGACTGTTCAGTGACTCCAATGCTCGATGTGCACGCCTGTATTTATCAACTCCTGCTTCTTTCTTTGCTTCAACATGTGTGATTAAATTCTGAGCACGAGTGGACGCTGCTTGACCATGTAGATTCTTGTCCTTGAATTTATATATATGCAAGGGCAGACGGAGGTGAGAACAAATTTCATTAAGAGCATCATGAGCCTGCGCATGCCGCAGTTCCCATTCATGCTCCAGTAAGTGTTGGTCACAATGTACAGGTGCATCAAGGGCAGATGGAAGATATAGAGGAAGGTGCTGGGGTTTGAGAACAGCATCAGTAGTGGTGGCATTGTAGTTGGCTGATGAACATAGTGCTAAAACAACAGGCATATAGAGCTCTTGAGTGCATATCCATGAGTCAATTCGTCTCTGTAGTACATTTGTCCTATTTGTAATCGTCTCACGTTGTTTGTCTGTAGGATGAAGGGAGATGTTGGTGATGTCATGTTTCAGCCTCTGTCTGTTGTATGTTACGCATGTAACATACGTGGCGTAATATTGACCTTAGTAGTTCTTCTCTCTATCTCCAATAAAGGAGAGATCAAGTAGAGAGCGTGTTCTGCAGTCTAGTACAAGACTGGCTCCCACAGTCAACTGGCAGAGCCCCCTCCTGTTGAGGAAGTAGGTTGGCAGTCAACCGTTTAGGAGACGGATCGTGCTCACAGCTAGAGGAAAAGGATGTTCCTCTCAGAAGTAAAGCAATGTTCTAATGGTCTCACACTAGAGAAGGTTACTAGTATGAACCAAGTGGATTCTAGGGTATCTCTAAGGAGATCAAGATGGGGTATCTACTACAAAGTACAGAGGTTTATATAGATACTGATCTGTGGCTGCACTATGTCTATAGTGAGTCAGAGATAGGGAAATGGTACAACCTATCAAGATAGCAAGTATAGGTGAAACATAGAAGACTGTTCATGCTGCACATGTTGATAGTAGTGAAGCAACAATCAAGATAATCAAGAAAGAAGAGAAGTGCAGACAGCCCGCTTGATAAGAGAATCTAGCCAGGTCTAGAAGAGTCTAGAGATGGCAGCAAGATAACCGTTCTAGATGTGTTCTAGAAGAGCAGTTATGGTTCCAAGAAAGAGAAATAAAGTAGGGTTATAAATGTTGTTGTAACATTGTAGCATTAAAACTAAGAAATGATAAGAGAAAATTTAATGTACTGCTGATCTTCTAATTCAATGCCACTACTTATGAGTATGCTGGGTGAGACATCCACGTGAAGAGATGAACTAACCCCGGCTCGCAATTCTTATGCTTTCAGTTCCACAAGCCGAGCCCACACTGCAGTCTGTGTAATAGCTAAGAGTGATCAGCCAAAGCAGCAGAAGGGATGAGCAATAACTCACGAGTAACTCTGCTTTTGAAAGGGTTTGGTTTGCCATTGTCCTCCCATGCCTTGATTTCCAGTCTCCATTCATCCAGTAACACAGACTGAATGGTTTCTTCCAGCTCATGCAAGGCATCACTGTGTTCCCTCTTCCACTTCACTGCATCCTCTATCTTGTGTTTCAAGGTCCGACCTTTAAAATATCAGTAAGAGGCTTCAAGAATATCAGAATCAAAGCGACTCACCAAACATTGTCACCTTCTTCCAATTCCAGTCACCAAAATGGTCATCCAGTGTATCGTGTCAACTTCCTGGTCCCATTTCTTTGGTGCTTGATGCCACGCGATTAATATTTTCCCACCCCCGTTCTGGTGCCTCTCCATCTGTCCTGCCCACAGACTTAGCTAAATTCCATGAGAAAGTGGTCTGGCAGGCAGCAATGTGAGCCCCGATGTGAAACTTGGGAACAAAATATTGTAATATTAGCATTGTATTGTGTGCTATATGCAGGTGGGCTGGCATAGAATCCATCCTAGTCCATAGTTTCTTTTACCACTGACATGCAATATCATATGAAATGTGATTGCGAACCTGACCAGGGCTGAGAACACAAAGTAGTCCATGTTGAGGTACCTTGAACACGTCACCAATTTATTTGTAACTAAAAATGAACACAAACATACTTTTCACCCTTTTGAAGGTCTCCTACCCCAGTTGGTAGCTTGAATTCGTGGCGTGCACAGTCAACAGTACCTACACCAGTTGCTGCAAGGCCATGTGATAACTTTGTATCTGCCATATTGACTGCGTTGTGGCTAACACATGTGCTTTGCTGAAAAATGATTGAGTCAGACAACATTGAACAGATACAAATGTCCATGTACCTCTTGTCTCTCGCCTGCCTGTAAGGATAGATATTCATTGTATTTAGTTTCTTCCACAAAGTATGCCCACCCAGCATTTAACCCTGGATCCATGTCATCCAAAGAGACTGCTTTCTGTTTCAGATGAAAATTTGTGTCAATTGCAATAAAAAGTGCATATAGCCATCTGCTATGAAAGATCAGTGCATCGCCTTACCAAAGACTGAATAAAATACTTGCTGTATCAATGGAGGTGCAGTTTCCCATCCATCAAGTAGGTTCTTCCCTGGGTGCAGGCATGCTGGACAGAGCACAGCAAGTTCCCCGCTCTTAGTCCCATTGGCACCAGTGGGATGATGACCTCTGCCACTGTGCCTGAGCATCGTAGGTGTCACCATTCATGAACCATGCACATGAAAGCAGAATAGTGATCCTACATACAATCAGTGAGGACTCTGAGTCTCCTACAAACAGTCAAACTTACTCTGATAGGAGAAAGTCAAGTGTTGTTGGTGCGTCTTGCTAAGCTGTAATAGAACTCATAGGCTGAAACCTTGGATTAAAAGGAAAGGAGGTGATAGTGCTTGAGGACAGCAAATGAAGCTGCAGTCTGTGGGTCAGTTGTAGTTGCAGGGTACCAACGTGCTCATAGCAGCTGTTTGAAACGAATCTGTGCAGTCTCACAACCACAAAAGTCCAATGCAATTTCATGAATACTGTGGACATCGATCATGACAAAGGTGTCGCCAGACGAGGGACGTGGATTGTGGCATCAATGACCAGGATTATGGCCCAGCTGTATCCGCATACCCAGGGACTTGAGGGTTGTACAGTCAAAAAAGGTGCTGGTCCATTTCTACATTCAGATTAGATGAAGCGTGCTTCACCAGCATGAAAAAGCCTACCTCAATTCTATGTAATGGCAGGCATTGGTGGTGTTGGACAATACAAGCCTGACAGAACATTTCTGGCCCAAAACAATCCTTGCATCAATATATTTTATCTGAATTGCCACAGCAACAGAGTGAACATGAAGCTTCAGGCCCATGACCTTCCAAAAAAATAGTTTCATCAAGAAAAGACTGGTGTTTGGGTAACCAAGCAAGGAGAGGGTTGTCCTATGCAATTGATAATGAGATCAAATTTTGAATTTTGAAAATAACTACTTACCGCTGCATGCCATCTATGCTTCACAGGCTGAAAGTCACAGACATTTGAGTCTGCAGTAACTTCGTCGAAGAAATCATAAGCGAGGCTTTGAGGCAGTAGCAGTGGTGAAGAAGGTAACTCATTTGTCACCTCTGGAGAAACCTCAGGTAGTGGTATGTAAGCTGTTTGTAGTGTAGTGCGCCCACCACTTGTGAGCGCATATTCTCGCACACGTTGTTGGGAAGGTATGCGTGAGGGTTGCTGCCCTTGGACGAAAGGCTCCACATGTGCCCATTGCCTTTTGCTAGGTTGCACCATGTCATGTTCACAAGAAGGCTTGCTGTGAGAATGATTGCAATGAGGATCCCTCTGATTATCCATACATAAGGCATCTGAATGCTAGCTATTGATTAACAAACACACTTGTATCTACAATATTCATCTCACCCACACCATGTGTACAAGCTTTTTTCACCACTAATATTGTTGCTAACTCGATGTGCTGCATCCAGATGGAAGAGGCTAAGGCCAATTTGATGGCAGAATGCCAAGCTAAGGCCGAATTCCTGCGTAAAAAAATTCCAGAATACAGGAAGCATAAGCCAGGATTTGTGGAAACAGACCTTTTCATCAATAAGATATGGCTGTTGTGGGAGTTCCTCTGGCCCGATTTTGATGTTGAAAAGTATGTACCTATTACATTTGAGAAGGGCACAAAACTACGTGAAGCACTCACCAGATGTCGTGTAGTGGGTCCTCTATCCTCTAATGCTAACTTGTTGCAGATATTTGACACTAGCAAATTGAATGTTTCTTGTTATGGGAGACACAATAGTTGGTGAAGCGGGAGTTCAACCAGACTGGTGTAAGGCCCGCTGACTATTGGACCTATTGGGGGGTGGGACGTGCATCAGATTGGACTTACTGGAGGGTGTAATACTGAGACCAGGTACTTACAAATTGGAACAATGTCAGGCATTAGGCATGTGCACGAAGGCAACAGTGTTGGCAAATCAGTGTGAGAAGGTAAGCTTGTTTATGTTTGTTGGGTGAGTACCAGTGGTGATTGCGCCTGTGACGTGGCACTTTAACAAATTCTAGGCCTATACAGATCCACCCTTCCAATTTCGGACCCAAGCTGCGCTCTTTGATATTGAGTGTGTCATACCCGTCAAGTACCTGCATACTTGGGTGTCCTTTCACACCTGCATGTTTACCCTACAGTTCATCTGCTTCTACAAACTGTTACAAGAACATCTAGACGCTTGGGCCCCTACCATTTTTCTCCTCATCCTCCTCATATCAGCTCTCACATCATACCCTTACCCCGACCTCACCCTTGTTATCCTTGGCATCCTCGCATTCCCCTTTGCCCTCTATCTGTCGCTTCAGCAGAGCCAGTACATCTGGCCGGATCCTTTCGCTGACGAAGCATACCCATGCTCCGTTCCACCACCTGACTG